ACCCCTGAATTCGACCCGCTTTTTTGTCACCTTTATGGCCGAGTCGGGTAAGGACTCTCGTAAGGGTTTGGAGCAAGGTCTTCATTCTATACAAGAGAAGTTGCTGGATGTTAGCAGAATCGGTGGCCAGGCCTTTCTGATGGTGAACAGGGCTCTTAATGATGGCACTCCGGTGGACACCCATCTTCTGCGAGAATGGGCTCAAAGGACCCTCTGCCTTCTGGACAATGCTAATGCAGACCTGTCTATGGAATACTGCAAAGTAGCATTGTACAAGCTGGATGCCATGTTGGCGGATCTGGCGAACAAGGAATTGGGTACAGAGGCCAAGGTTTTGCTCTTCTGAGACAAGTTCATAAAGGAACTGAGCACTCATGTCACTATTGATACGTCTCTGAATAAAGCTCAGGCTTCTTTGAGGAAGGAGTTTTGTAAGGGGGGGTCATTTTTCAATGGGCTGGTCGGCAGTGTACATCCACTTGTTCCCTGCAAAGGCTATAGAGGTCAAGGTGCATCCTCCGCCCGAGGCAAACATACCTCAGGTAAGGGTAATTTATTATTTTCATATATTCCAATTGCGGGCAGGTTGTTTACTTTTTTTGTCAGATCTCATACAGGATTATTGGGTCCTCCATATGGTGTCAGTTTTTCAGAACGATTTCATCTCCGCTCTGGTGCAGAAGGTTCCTACATGCCCCCTTCAGATGTATAAGGGCTTAGTGTGACTGGTTCGAGTGGAGTAATCCAGTCTTTGGTTAAAAGGGGCGATAGAATCGGCAATTAGCCCTCCTTGCTTCCTAAGCAATACATTTTTAGTATAGGAGAAGACTGCCAACTTCTTTTATTTGACTATTTTTCATGCAGACTCCCAGATTAAGACCAAAACTTCTTTTAAACCAACGGATATGAACAGTTTCATTGAGTCTGCTAGTGGACATCACTCAAGATGGCTCTCAGGAGTTCTGAAGAGCCAATATACCAGACTTAAACTGAACTGTTCAGATTCAGAAAGACCAACGTGTATGTTCTATACAGACATTTCAAAATGGAGTGCATCCATCCTCTTCAGGACCTCCTGTGCGAGGGAGACTGGTTTACGCATTTGGATTTCAAAAACGCTTATCTCACTGTTCCAACCCACGTCGAAAACTGAAGTTTCCTTCAATTCAGGTGGGATGATCAAGTATGGCAATTCACATGCCTGCCTTTCAGCCTCCGCTGAAGCAGGTCATGGCATTTCTCTGTGCATGAGGGGTTCAATCCATCATTTACCTTGATGACATTCTCCTTATTGCTCAGGATCCGGACACACTGAAGGGCAATACTCTAAAGACAACCAATCTATTGCAAGATCTCAGATCCATCATAAACAAAGCAAAGGAATCTTCCCAGTCGATATGATTTCTGGGTGGATTCTGTGACTGCGATACTGCCCTCCAACGTTGTAGCTAACAGAAAGGAAATAAGACTCTACGAGCTCTGGTTCGGATAATAGGATTCCTGTCTGCCTCTATCCAGGCTATTTCTTCCTGATACAGAAATAGTATATTACCCAGCGCCCTGTTTTCTCTGCTGTATCCGGAGGAAAAAGGAGAAGCCGGCTGCAAGTTTTCGTGCCTGGGCTAAGGCAATTATACAGAGTTTGTGAGTAGCAGCTGGGACTGCATATACTCACTTATTTTCATCTTGTAAGAGGCTTATTGTGTATTTTTATTTACTTTTATTTGATTCATGTATTTTTATCTGATTCATGTATTTTATTCAATATTGATCTTGATCAATTTTCTTCATTGCTAGGAGTGTTTTATGTTTAGTGAAACTACTAATAAATATTTGTAATTTACTGTAATTGTGCTTCACTATCATATGCATTTTATCTTTTTTATATACAGTTCCAAAATAGGAATAGCATAAAATGTTCTTTGTGGGCAGGAACTCCTTCACCAAGAGTCTGTGTGAAAACTTTGTCCGCTCAACGTGTTTCATCTGTATACCAGACTTTCTCAAGTACTGTTCTCATTTTAGCTTTGATCGTTTAAATATCCTGCTATGGGATTTCTCCGATCCCTTTCTGTATGCACTTCCGTGTTCTATGGGAATCATGCAAGCATCGAGATTCACGTGCCCAGCGCCGCGGGAGCAATAACATCTCAGCTTCCCTCCGGCCCCGACGTACGCGTGCTCCCCAACGCCTGTAATTAAACTAACTTTAATCAATCAACTTATTTAAATGTGCTTTTTATTGACAGTGTTTTCGTGCAATAGGAAATTTAAACGGGCATTGTTTATACATATATGCATCCCTTGATAGATGGGAATTTCTCATTTCCATATTATACTATAAAAGACAAAAAATTCAATAAATAAAAAATCTAATTGGTAAATAATACAACAAAAATAAATTCTTTGTTAAAAACATAAGGATTTATATTTTTTATACATGTTATACATTATCATTTTTAGAACAGACCTTGAAAATCAAAGAAAAACTTTGTCTCTCTTAAAAAGAAAAAAAAATATTTAAAACTTAATATTATGAAACCTAGATCTAAAGCAAAAATAAGGAATATGTGTTATTAGGGGAAGAAAGATACATATATAAAAACATTACATACAACTATAAAAATATACATTCAAAATTATATGGAGAATTATTCCCTGAATTGTGTATGGTATATGTGTTATGGTTGATTATATAATTCCTACCTGTTCTATGTTAAATTTTGTATATATTGTGTATTAATTTTGTTTTTGTATTTTATTGTACCCTAATGTATCAATGCAATGTTTTGTGGACCCAGGACATACTTGAAAACGAGAGAATTTCAATGTATCTTTCCTGGTAACATATTTTATAAATAAATAATATATACCTAATAAATAGCATACTGCATAAATGCTAAAATATCGATTTTAATTGTTTAAACCATTGGAACCTAAAATTTAAAAATCCATTCTGTTTCTCTTTTAGTTAATGCCAACTCTATATCCCTCCCTCTCCAATGTGATTCTACCACATCTATACCTATACAGGTAAAGGTTTGAAACTTAAAATCCTTACAGTTTTGTCAATGTCTGGGTACACTGTGTTTAAGACTATTTGTTCTAATGTTTTAAAAATGTTCTAATAGTCTCTTGTGCAGTGTTCTTGCCATTCTACCCACATACTGTATCTCACATTTACATTGTAATAAATTATTTTTTTCTACTTTTGCAATTAATAACATGTTTGATTGGAAACATTTTCTTTATTATAAAACTTTTCAACAAATTCTTCTGTTTTTCTATTCTGGTATTTACAGGTAGAAAAACTGCCACACCTAAAACGCCTTTCGTTTTTCAAATATTTTGTTTATAGGATTTTCTGATTGTTTTGATTTGGAGACTCTGGGTAAAGCACTGGGGACCAATTGGTTTTTTTAAAATATCAGCTTGTTTGAAAACAGTAATGTGTTTTTCCAGGAGAATTTTGCCTTAAATCGGATCTTTAAGTAAAATGGGCCAATGTTTGTTCATTATTTTCTCAATCTCAGAAGCTTTGTTGTTATATTGAGTGGTTAAGGAGAATTGAAATTCCCCTGATCTACCTTTTGTTTTTTCTTTTCCTGCCACCAAATCTTCCCTTTTTATTTACAAGACCTCCGTTTTAGCCTTACTTCGAAGTTCTTTTGGATATTTTTTTTTTTACAAATTTCTCCTCTAATTGTATTATTTTTTGTTGATAGTCCTTGTCTCTTGATCAATTGTGTTTAATTCTCATAAATTGGTTCTGTGGGATATTTTGTAGCCAGTTTTAGTAGTGGCAACTTGAAAAATCGATAAAAGTGTTTTGATCACTTGGTTTAAAAAAGTTTTACTCTCTATCTTAAAATCTTCAATAAAAAAAATGATATCCCAAAAATCTATTGTGCTTTTACTTTGGTGTAAATTTTAGACCGTATCGGTTAGTATTTATAAGTTTTATAAAATCTAATAAAGTCTCCTCCTTTCCCTTCCAGATCATGAAGACATCATCTATGTACCTCCTCCAGAGCACGAGATTTTCGGAGTAGATGTTATTACTCCAGATGTTGTTTTCTCCAGATGTTATTAATCCAGATGTTGTTATGCCACAAAAATGTTGGCATAACTGGGGGCAAATCCTGTGCCCATCTTTGTTCCTTTTTGTTGGAGGAAGTACTTACCTTCGAACCAGAAATAGTTGTGGGTCAATATAAAATGAACACAGTCCAAGATGAAATGGGATTGTAGTGGGTCCATCTCTGGATCCAATATCAAAGTTTCTCAGACAGCTTGTATCCCCAATGAATGGTCGATCACTGTAAATAGTGAGCTGACATCTATTGTGACCCACAAGTGTTCCTGGCTCCATATTTTTGTAAATAATAGTCAACATACTCTGAAAATTACAAGTAAGGGAATCGATTCCGCTTAAAATCAGACGTCCTGTTTTTTTTTTTAATATCCTTTTGAATTTTGGGAAATGATAAAACACAGGGAGCTTGGGAAAATGTATAACTATTTAAACTCGTCTTTAGTTAAAATTCCTTTTTTCACCCCTTCTTCTAATAAGTTTTTTATCTCTTCCTTAAATTTGCATGTGGGGTCTTTCTTTAAATGTTTATATGTATTAATATTTCCCAACATTCTAATTGATTCTTCTATGTATTGTGTTCTATCTAAAATCACTATTTTGTATGCTGATTTCATTTTCCCTGGTACACTATCGAGTCATGCAGTGTCTGGAGGCACATCCCAGGCAAAACTTTGCCTCTTCAGACCAGACTGTTCACTTGACAGACAAGTTTCATCCCAAACACCATTGGTGGCTGACCCACATGGAAACATGGAATGAAGGAGCTCCGGACTTTGTCCTAGAATCGGAAGCCAGATCCTTGGGCTGGGGCTTGGCTTGAAACGGAATGGTCACGGGTGGCCGTTGAACCCTAGAAGAGAAGTCTCATTACATAAATTGTTTGCAACTGATTGCGGGGGTCCTTCGCCATTTGCAGCTTCATGAGAGAAAAGTTGCACTGTTCACTAGTCCTTCAGATGGACGTGTCTGCAGTGCGGAACATAAACTGGCTGGGCTGTTCACGCTTGAAGGATCAGTACTGTCTGGAGCGATATCTCTCCATCAGAGCAGTGTACCTTCCGGGTCAGGACAATCTTGTGGTGGATTGACTGCCAATTTCCACCGGAGATTTTTCCCCTCTTGGATATTTGGCAAGGGCCTCTTGATCTGGAATTGTTCACTTCCAGGGCAAACTGTTGGAAGGACTTGTTCTTCAGTTGGCTTCCATATCCTCTGTGCCTAACAGTAGTCATATTTCTTCAGGAATACCTGCCTCTGTGGTGTATGAGCTTCCACTGCTTTCCACCATCTGATGCACCAGGGTGTGATGATCTTACTTATGACACCTCTATGGAGAGCTCAGCCTCTGCTTGAATTGTCCTGCCTCATTATCTGTTTCTCTTGCTGGGTCTGGACAAGTCCCTGTATCTGTTGGTGTCTGTCTCTGGTGGCCTGGATGGTTTCTGGGATCGTGAGATGTATCGGGCCTATTATCAGCAGCTTGGGACTTACTCTAGGACTCCTGGGCTCCAGGCACAAGAAATTCCTACCTTCAGATGTGGGGGACATGCCGTATATATTGTTGTGAGGAAAGGGGCGCCCCTGTCGTGGCCATCTTGAATTTCTTATTCTCTCTCTTCTCACAAGGAAAGTCTTATCGGACGATCAATCTATTTCATTAAGCTATCTCTTTGGCCCACGTTCGGCTTCAGGGATATGGTGTCGAAAAAATTCAGATGGTTTGTAGACGGCTTCATGGGATTCGTCTAGCCAGACCTTCCTCAACCCATCCCAATTACTTCTTATTTTCCTTCGATGGCAACTCTTTTTAATTTCCCCTTCACAATCTCTCTTCAGACTAAGTCAGGTTCTTTTTTAGTTTCTTATCCTTATTGTCGGACAGGCCTGGGTTCTGCGTGTCCGTTATCTTCATTGCTATATCTCCTCAATGTCCTCTTTAAGGTCCTTTCTTGGTCTCCTTTGTTCGACCCTTTAATCGTCACATAAAACTGTTGCATTACTTGAATACAAAATCCAAGCCCCACACCAAAACCAAATAAATATCTTTATTGAGACCCACGATTACTCAATGGGTCAAACGGACCCTGCGCCTCGTGAGAGTGGAATTATCCTTTTTGAGTCCCATGATTACTCGATGAGTCAAATGGATCCTGTGCCTCACAGGCATGGAATTATCTTTTTGTGCCCACTTAGTGTGTGGTGCTGCTGCTTTGGCATTTCTAGATTTGGATGACTTGCAGTATGAGATTTTGGCTGCGTTCATTGGTTAAGGAAGTCTACTTTTCTGATGTTTTATTTCTTTCTAGTTCTCATGCTTTCTTTCCTTGCTATCAGGGCATTACATTTGCAAATATGAAGCCTTCTGTCTTTCTGTAAAATTAAGGATTATTCTAGTCTTGGTGAAGAAATAATATACATTTTATTAAAGAGAGGAAGAAAATATTTCCCTCCTCCCCTTCATTTGTTATGTCTCCCACCCTATGTTTGTTTGCTTATTTGTGTTGTGTGAGAGTTTATTTAGTTTTCTAAAGTTATGCTACAGTATTATGTGGTTTATTACTGTTTTATGTTTTTGTGGCAACCAGTCTATTACAGATTACATGCATGAGTTTTTCTGTTTTCTTTTCAGTTTAAAATTGTGTGAAAAAGTTTCTACAGGTTCTAGCAGTTTCTGTTACGATTTTTCGACTCCTTAGTTGATGTTTGGTTGTTTCTGTTCTCCTGCTCAACCTCATCAAAGAAAGAGGAAGTCAAAACATTAATTTCAAAACTATTCATATGTCTTGTCAGTTTCATAAGAGAAGTGGATGGATTGATCTTCAATTTCCATTTAAAAGAACTTTAGCTTATGAATGAAATCCAGTCAGCTAAATGTGTTTACATTAAGTGTACACGGTGTATTAAATAGATTGACCACTAGATGTCCTGCTAATACCTACTTATTGGAAAAGGAATAAAATGAATGCAATTGTTTTTACAGCATTTTATAAAATATTTATGTCTACTTGCTTAGAGAATCTGCTTCCATTGTTGACTTGGTTTTGAAAAAACAAACAGCTCCAGCTCCAGCTGTAAAAAGATGTGCTGGGCAGGGAAGATTGGTAGGTATGACACAATTGTCATCTTAAAACCCAATTCCTTTCCAATGAACATATCATGGTTTAATTTCACCAGTATGTGATTACATTCTAGGAGGGGATCGTCTCAATGGGATGTAATAAAATCATTCATACTTGGTGCCTTCAGAACCATGATCTAACGGAATAAATAATATGACAAAAATGATTGCCTTTAGAACATTTACATTTTGTGATTCAGCAAACTGACAGAGACCTGTTGATTGGGATTGATATACATTATACACCTGGTCTATATATTGGGACATAATCAACACTTCTATGAAATCTCCTTGGATATTATTTTGTTGGAACAGTGAACTTATAAGAGTTTTCCTGCACTTGCATGGAAGTTAAGCTTCGCTATGACAAGGAACCTAACTGATCTTAATTAGAATTTACAGGGTTATATACTAGGGGGAGAATTTAAACAGGGTTATTTACTAAAGTGAGAATTCAAGGAGAATTCAAAGTGAATTTCAAATGTAAAGCCAGATTAGCAGAACTAAGAGCATATCTGATTTAGATAACATGTTCAGTTCTGCTATTTTGACTTAATTGAGAAATTCACTTCATCTTGAGTACTCACTTGAATGAAAAACCCTGAAAGTGAATTTCAAATTTAAGAAACAAAGGGATAATGGATATATACGGGATATAATTAAACTCCAGAGGATGTAGATGTACACAGGGACAGCTTCATACTTTGACATCCTGTAAACAAAATATTTAAATACACATGGGTGTAAAATGCAGAAACAAATACTACTGAAAACATATTATATTACTTATAATAAAAGTAGCACTAGAATCTGCAGAGGCTTTACAAATGTCTTTGATATTAAGCATGATGTCGACCAAAGTCTTGTCATATGGCATATCACAATGGTCCTTGCATCCACTACATTGTTTATGCTTTGGCTGGCATTAAAACTTGGAGGTAAAATACTTGCCTTGCCCTGGGTGCTGGCAAACCATGCTACACCACTGACACTAACAATACTGAGTGCCTTCAAAAGAGGGACACTTGGATAGAATAGAGGGACAGATGGATTGGGGCATAAAGTATGGACTTAGGGCCTACACAGGGACACTTGGGAGGTATGATATTCTCTTATACTTGCTCTCTGTATTCATGATCCAGCTTGGCTTACAAGCTCCTTGTATTTCTTGTTCCCGTGACTCAAGCTTGCGTCTGTTGGTTTTCCTTTCCTCTTTAGATTTTAGTTAACCTGTCTCACTAGGGTATCGAATACATGTCTTTCTTATGTCCTGCTTATTACATATATTGTGGGTCTTATCTACAATTCAAGAATAATCTGCAATCTGCATTCTTTTATTAAGCTAACAATGATTGCTTGCCAAATTCATAAAACCCTTAGTTCTGAAATAATAGTGTGTACTTTTATTGTGAACCATATCAGGCAACCATATTTGGAAGTCTGAGGCTTATAAAGTATGGGTTAAGGCATCATAAAATAATATTTAGTTGTATTCTTATTTATAAGCACGAGTTACCTACAAATTAACCAATTATGTATATAATAATAATTGGTAATTCACTAAAGTGAAAACTCTAAGTGAATTCAACGTGAATTTTAAATTTAAGGTCAGAATAGCTGATCTGAAACCATTCTCAGTATTCAGTAATTCTTCAAGCTCTGCTACCTTGGCCTTAAATTCAAAATTCACTTTGAATTCTCACTTTAATGAATAAGCTTGAGTGTCTGAAATTAGATTTAAATTGAAGAGCAAAACAAAATTAAATTTACGATGCAAAAATACACTTAACCCTTTACTCCAGAAACAAAATAGGGACTGTCCCTTCTAAATAGGGAAACTTGGGAGGTATGATGTTCTCTCATTCTTGCTCTCTGCACCCCTGACCCAGCTTGGCTTACAAACTCCTAGTATCTTTGACTCACATTGAGCCAAAATTGTCTCTAACTTTTACTTTCTCCTTTGTGTTAAAGAGAAACTATAGTACCAGGAAAACAAGGTTGTTTTTCTGGCACTATAGCTCCATGTAGTGTCCTCCCCCTGCCCTTTTGATGCAGAAGAGGTTAAAAACCCATCTGTTGCTTTCCTGATTCCAGCACCAATCTCTTTCTGCACTGGTTTTATCTCCTCTTCTGTAATTCGATTATTAGTTTCCTGCGGGGTCTAGAAAGCTATTAATAGTGCAGGAGATAAGAAATTCTAAATTAAACAGAATTTGCAATAAAGGAAATGTAAACATTAGATTACTTTTTACAGAAAGTGTTACTACGGCAGCATAAACCTAAACAAAGTGAATTTAACACCTAAATGGCAGAGAATTGAGCAGTGAGACTGAAGGGGCATGACCTATTGCTTCATTAAGCTAATGTTGTTTTGTTTAACCCCTTAAGGACCAAAGTTCTGGAATAAAAGGGAATCATGACATGTCACACATGTCAAGTGTCCTTAAGGGGTTAATGTCCCTTAAAAAATAGTAAAATGCTGAATGGATGGAGAACTCTAGGGAACTCCAGTCACAATGGCCACATCAATGAGATGAACATGTTACATTGCCTACAGTGTTCCTTTAAAAGGACATACATCATTTGCCAATTATTTTTTTTAAAGCAACAAGCAAACACTTCTCAACAAATATGAAAAACAAAAATAAAGTAAGATAGATTTTAAAAAAATGTACATAATAAACATTTATAAACTCACTGTAAACACAGAGTGCATTATTGGGTACCCCTCTCAGCTAGGGGAGTTTCTTCAGCCCCCCCATTCCTACACTTCACAGTTTCGGACCTATCCACTTATGACAGAAGCAGGGCATTATTGTGCAGCAGCAGGAGAGAGAAACATGACAGCAAAGCCTGCTTTGAATGAATCACACTGTTCAGACTTTATCTCTTCTCCCCTTGTCTGGACATGAAGAGATCTTCAATGTGTACACTTTTCCAATATTCCTAGGAATTGGTCGTTTACTGGCTAGAAAAGTATAAGAAAGAAGATGCAGGTGAATTTAAAAACCATTCATGTTTACCTGCTTTTTTCAGCCTGCAGAGTGAGACAACTGAGACAACTGTCTCATGCATAGCTAAAGCTTTTGAATG